TTAGTATTTAAAAAAATTAAATTGCTGAGGGAGCGAATCTGTAATTAAACTTTAAACCTCATGGGGGGAGATTAATTTCCAAAAAGTGAGGGGAGAATTGTAATAAATATAAATCTCAGGGGGTGTCAGTGTAATTTACCCATTATATAAAATAAATTATGGTATCTCAAACATTCGTAATATATTATGGTAATTCAAGGTATAATATAACTCACCTTACGATTGACCCTTAACTTTGAGTTTTCTACTACAACTCTCAGCTATACTCCCTCACTTGTCGAAGCTCACCTCACTACGAATGGATTCCAATTTCTTGTCCTTACTTCTGAAGCTCACTGTACAGGTTTTTCACTATTTATAGCCCTCATTCTCTTGCTTGCTATGCAAGTCCTAAGCTCCATGGCCGCAACCTTTCTTGAACACGTTTCTACTCAGTGATGCCACTTGTATTATTACCTCACAAATTTGTCCAAGGCCACTAACCCCTTGACCTTTTTACCATTCTAAGGATTATTGCCTTCTTTGGTAATCTACAATAATTCTTAAAATTACATATAATTAAAAGTTAGGTTCTTGTCTAAAAACCTCACCACAACACTATAAAACTTCACTTACCACTTACTAAAATATTTAATATTAAACATGCGGTGTCCCATAATCTACTCTAGCAAAGATTTCGAATATTATACTTAGGAATTGTATTTATTTATTTATTGATTTATTTATTTTATTTTTTTATTTAGAATTATTATTATTATTATTATTTTATATTATAATCATGGTAAAAATTCGGGTGCCACATTTGTCATTGTTGTTGTTGTTATTGTTGTTGTCCAACAGATCATCCATCATCTCTATTTGTTATAGATAATTTTTTTTCTTTGTTGTCGTTCTTGTTGAACACATAGAAAAAAACCGATAAGATCTGCGTGTGAATTTGAACAGATATGTGCTGAATTTGAACATATCATAGAAATGAAGAGATTTTTTGTTGTTGTTAAACATATTTTTTCAAAATTTGGACAGATAATGTCTTAGTTTATTTCAATAACAAAGATTTGAACAGATAAAAAAAATTAGCAAATATAATTCAAGAAAAAAATTGAACATGTAATAAAATTTGGACAAGTAGATTTCAAAATATAAGCGAAAAAAATTGAACAAATAATAAAATTTGGACAAATATTTGAACAGATAAAGGAAAAAAATTCAACGGATAGTCAAAAAATTAAATAGGTAAAATAATATTTGAACAAATTATCAAAAAAATGAAACTGATAGTTAAAAAAATTCAACATATAGATAAGGGGTAAAATTGGAAATGAAATGTCTTTCAAAATAACAAAAGGACTTCTCACCAAACTATTTCACAAAGGGTAGATCTCTCACCAACAAAAAATATGTATTGTACCTAATGCCTTACGCAATTGTTAGATTGGACTTTTCAATAATTATTTATTTATTTATTTATTTTGGTATATTTTTCAACACTAAACAGACTGATGAAAAATTTTGACATAAATTTTAAAAACAATTAAAAATAGAAAAATATATATAAAAAAATCACCTTATTTGGTTCTTTATGTTTCTATAAAAATCAAATTTTTGTTTTTCATATTTTGTATTTTATTTTTTGTGAATTTTTAAATATTTTACACATTTTTTTATATATATATTTTTGGATACGCCTAATTTAGAAACACTTAAAAAATATAATATTTAATGAATTTTTTTTAATAAATTCACCAAATACAAAAAATACCAAAAAAAATAAATATAAAATTTCAATATATTTTCATATTTTAAAGATTTTTGTATGAATTTTATATATATATATATATATATTTAAGTATATCAAGATTAAGTAGATTTAAAAAGTAAAATAAAATTGATTAAAATATTTTAAAAATTACTAAAAATATAAAAATACAAATTAAAAACTCATAAAATTATTTTTCAGAAACTCCAAAAACACATACCCCGCAAATTCTAATCACCTTGTTTGATTTTGATTGATTTTTTAGACCCCGTTTGGAGACTTTAACTTTTACCAAAAACCGAAAAAAAAATTATAATAAAGAATGACATAATTTTATTTTTATTTTTTTTATTCTTCTACACATCATTTAGAAAAAAAATTAAGAAATTACTTAAAATAACTAATTCCTATTTAACCACCATGCTGGCAAAAATAGTCATCTAAGTATTGCGAACACGTCATCCGACCAATGGTAGCACGGTTTTGACTTCGTAAGCTCACCTGAAAAGTTATTCCATGCTCCTGGGCATGGTTAAGTTTTGTTTCTAAAATAATATGTCTGGCTCAATATAATAAAGTTCACCATTTTTTTGTGCGAATTGGAATGCACTTACTAATTTCGACTTTGTATAATATCACTTAATTTGTTAAAATCATACTGATTTAAATTGGTTCGTATCGTTCTATTCGCTAACTAATCATTAAATTTTAAAATTTATAATTCATCTTTGAAATTACTCCGCACCGTTATAGTTAATATATATATTTTAGCCTCTAATGAAATATCAAAATGAAAATGAGTGTAAGACAGATTTAAGATGTAAAATTTATTACAAATTAACAGTTATATGTGTAAAAACCATATTATGCAAATCTATACTATATATTAAGTAAAAAGGAGTTTTTAACCCTAAATCTTGTGGGAGCTCCAATCCCAATTAAAATTTCCTGATTTTTTGATTTAAAAAAAAAAACTTTAACATTTATTAATTTCTCCCAAACCCCAAGTCTTACCCTCATAATAACACTTTAATTCATTAAGAACAAGCATAAAAAAAATTATTTAAAATTCAACACATGAATTTCTTAAAAAATCCCAACACATATGATTATCATCCTTCATAATAATACTTTAATGCATTAAGAACAAGCATAAACAAAAATTTTTTGCAAAGTCCAACACATATGATTATTATCAAAATATTAAACTTTAATATAATATAAAAAACGAAAAAAAGAAGGCATTTAAAAAAAGAAAGAAAAAAGACATTTAAAATTCACAATTCGCATATATAAATAATTGTAAACACAGTCCGTGCATAGCACGGGTGATATGTTAGTTAGTGTTATTATGCAAATGCTTGATAATTGGTTGAAAATATTCTTCAATTCGTCAATCTGCCTCAAACTGTCCAAACCATGATTTGGTTATTTGTCAATTCGGCTCAAATCGTGATTTGGTCATTTGTCAATCCACCACTCCGCTAAATTCACCATTTGATTTATAATTTACTCTCAAACCACTCGAATTACATTGCACTTCCCTCACCTCTATCTGCAAAAAGTCAAAAATACCCTTGATTATGTCGAAAATACAGAGCACAACAGTACTACCGAGGGTGGTGGCCAAGTGGATTACACACCTACTTTTCACATGGGAGAGCAAGACTCGATTTTGGGAGCGCCAAATATCTTTGTATTATTATGCTGTACTCTAATCGTAAGCCAGCCTCTAGTGAATCCTTTTCTATGAATTGAGTTAAATCTAACTATCAATCAATTTACGAAAGACCAGAGCTTGTACATGTTATAATACCCTCACATAGCATCATTTTTTAGGGATGTAATAATGGCTCGGCCCGGCCTGGCTCGTCGCGGGCTCCCTTTTTTTAGCGGGTCGAGTCAGGCCAGTTCATGGGCCAAAAAATGGGGCCTAGGCCCACTCAAAATAGGGCATAGGGCTTGGGCTTGGGCTCGGATCGTGGGCAGGCCTAGGCGGGCATTTATTTATTTTTATTTTTTGAAAAAATGGACGATAAATATATTATCTATGTAGATTATTTATTAGCGATAAAAGAATAAAAGAAAAATTATAATAAAGTATTTTAGTTAAGATTAATGAGATGTTTTGTTTGGTTATGTTTCATAATGGTATTTTAATTTAATTATGTATTACTTATATTTTTTTAATTATGAAACGATAATCTGACATTTTTATTTTTAATGGTGATATAATCGTTAAATTATTTTTATTATTATTTTTTTTTTCAAAAGTCTACCGGAAAGGGGCAAGGGGTAGGCAAGCGGTACTGGCAGGGGTAGAGGTACATAAGTTAATTTTTTTTTTTTCATTCATTGCAACTTGCAATGATGATGTGAGTGATGTGCATGACAAGGGGGCAAGGGGTAGGCGGGCGACACTGGTAGGAGCAGAGGTGCGCCAATTAAATTTTTTATTTTTTTTTGAAATTTGACTGTTGGCAGAGAGAAGGCCCGGTATGCCAAGCTGGGCTGCCTGCAGGGCTCGAAATTTTTTGGGTCAGGCTAACGGGCTGGGCCGAGTCGGATGGAATTTTAAATGGAAGGCCCAGGCCTAGGCCCAAGATCCTGGGCTAGGCTCGGATCCGAGCCTAACCAAGCCAAAACGGACCTAGCCTACCTGGGATCTCGGCCGGGCTTCGGGCTGCCCACATAACTTGGGTCATTTTTAAACCCCTATCCTTTCCCTAGTTCAAAAAAAAATAAAATAAATAAATAACATAAAAAAATGTAAAATAACAAACAGACACGTACTCATATATAGGGTGGTTTGAGATGTTCTAAATAAGTGTATTTTTTTATTTTTTATAAAAAAAAAATGTGTAAAAAAATAGAAAAAATAGAAAGCCATTTAGTAGTGACTTTTAAATTTTGACTATTAGGTGGTTGTCAAACCAAATTTTAGTGCCCTTGGATGCATAAATCCTTCTGAAATGAAGAAATTAAAAAAAAAAAAAAAAAAAAAAATACACATTTTTAATACATGGCAAATACCATGCCTCTCAATTTTGAATTCACTCGGTTACGTAACTCTCGGTTAAGAAACGATCGTAAGGAAAGTACATCATCTGTCTCTCATGAAATCTGATAAATTTTCTCTCGCTAAAAACTTAATGAAGAAGGAATTCACCGTCCCACCGGTGATTTTTCCCTCCGGCGACACCTCCGGCGACACCACCTTCGTAAGGAATTCACTCGGTTACGTAACTCTCGGTTAAGAAACGATCGTAAGGAAAGTACATCATCTGTCTTTCATCAAATCTGATAAATTTTCTCTCGCTAAAAACTTAATGAAGAAGGAATTCACCGTCCCACCGGTGATTTTTCCCTCCGGCGACACCACCTTCGTAAGCGGTGGCGGAACCCTCCACCACCGCCGTGTCCCGACGGCACCATTTCAGCCACCGCGCCCCGCCATGTCTTCCATCCCCTCCTTCTTATCCTTCGACATCGGCCCCACCTCCTTCTCCGTCCCCGTCTCCGGCTCCGACGAGCCATCCTTACTCGAAGAACTCGAAATCGACGCATCCCTAATCTACCGCAAGAGCCTGTCTCTCCTTAACCCGTTCCGCCTCAACCCTGCCGTCCACGACTCGGCCGATCTCTCCGGCTCCTTCCTCTACTACATGTCCTTCTGTCTTTTCCAAATGCTTGCTGGGAAGGTCCAATTCGGCGTCGTATTAGGCTGGATTGTTGTGTTTTCCATCTTCTTGTACGTTGTGTTCAACATGCTTCAAGGCAAGAATGGCAATTTGGATTTGTACAGGTCTTTGAGCCTGGTTGGTTACTCATTGTTGCCTGTCGTGGTCTTTTCGGCCTTGTCGTTGTTCATCCCTCAAGGCTTTGTGGTGGCGAATTTCATCCTCGCGGCTGTGTTTGTGATGTGGTCGACTAGGGTTTGTTCGTGCCTTCTTCTCGAGGGTGCATCGCGTGGCGACGAGCATCACGGGTTGATTGCTTATCCTTGCTTCTTGATTTACGCTTTGTTTTCGATGCTCGTCATGTTTTGATTTGATTTGATTATGAGTTTTTTTTTTTTTTTTTTTTTTTTTTGGGTAGTGGTAGATCAATTTTCATGTGTGGTTTAATATGTTGTTGTTGTTATGCAGAGTAGAATATACGACACATGTAATTAGATTGATTTTTGAAACTAGACTTGTATTCATTTTGTAGAGGGGAATTTTATGTGCTTGTTGAGCACGTAAAATGTTATATTCATAATAAAACAATTTTTGCATGGCTTTTGTCTTTCCATTTTACACATTTAAAAATTTGTTGGTTTAGTGTTAAATCAAAATTTGCCAACAACTATTCAAGATATATTGTTTTGCATTGTTGTTTATTGTTTTGTAATGTCTTCTAATGGATATTGTAACAGAGTAATGGGTTAAGGTGTTCATGTGGGTTAAGGATATTTAAAAAGTTTGGAAGGCTTGTGCTCCCTTAAATGTAAAGGTGTTCATGTGGGCCTTGGTTCATGGAGGAATTTTGACAAATGATACATTGCAGAAAAGGAGACCCAATCGTTTTTTAAATCCTCAGTGGTGCATTCTGTGTTATAAGAGCGGGGAATCCGTGGATCATTTATTCTTGCATTGTCCAATAGCTTTGAATTTATAGCATAGATTGTTTACTGTTGGAAATGTTATGTGGGTGGCCCCAAAAAGGAGTGCGCATATGCTTTTAGTGGATTTTCGCACATTTGGAGGATCGAAGAGAGCCAAAATTCTATGGACTTGTACCGTCTTTGCAATTTTTTGGGTGCTATGGTGGGAATCAAAGGTTGTTTGAAGATAAGTTCCGGGAGGTGGGCTGTTTATGGGATCATGTTTGTCACTTATCTTCTTTTTGGGCGTCGGGAACTCTTTATTTAAGGGAATCCCACTCTTTTTGTTAGTTAGAGATTGGTTGGCGGTGTGTGTTTTGTAAGCTTTTGCTTGTTTTTAGTTGGTTAGGGGTTTTTTCTGTTTGTATTTTCATTGTCTTGTGTTTAGAGGATGCCTCATCCTCTCTTCCTTTTTTAGATTTATCAATAAAGCTTTTGTTGTTGATCAAAAGTAATGGGTTAAGGCAACCAAAAGTTTTACACAATTCTGTGAACTGACTAATCTGTGGCAGAATTAAGGTTGTAATTTTTATAGGCTACCCGGGGTAACTATTCTATTTTATTATATATATACCGAATTCTCTATGCCGATTATTCTGCTATTACTGGTGAATGTATAAAAATTTGCTGGCTCTTTTTATGCTAAATTTATGTTTTAATGGTTCAAGAATTTTACCTGGTCTGTTGGACAGATTGCTACTATGCATCACATTTACTGTTGAGTAATATGTTGTTTGAATTTGAACCATGGTATTTGGTTACTGCTTAAGGTTTTTCAAAATTTATAAGAGCTGGATCATTTTCTTTCAGTTTAAAGAATTTTAAATTGATTAGTATTTGTATGATATCCCATGGGAATCGGTGGTGCTGCCATGATAGTTAGGCGCAGAGTGGAGGCGACTTACTGTAGCTCAAAATTATATCTTTGTACTATGGACGTATCTCTAGAAATCGAAAGAGCGGACAAACCACATACCATCTCTTGAATTGTGTGATGAAAGGAAACAAAAATTAGCAGGTGAATTGGTCGATTCATGCACACTCTATTATTTTCAGACGGATTGAGTAGAGGTTGGTTGCTGGCTAGTCATGGTGGATGGTAGAAGATGAAGGATGATGCGAGTGTATGTCAGGAATGGTGGTTTGCATCTATGGTGGGCATTTCTACTAATCTATTTGCCTTGCTTTTTGATTTGGACATGTGCTTCGTGGCAGTAAATTCCTGCCTTGTTCTGTTTGTATCAAAATAGGCAGGAAGGGCCTTGTCTTTAGCCCACTTTGTTTTGACACAGGTTCAAAGAGATTTCAAGATTTGTTTTGTTTGAGAAACCAAATCAAAGCCAAGCCCCCATTTCATACAGGTACTTGTATATATTTGTTCATGTATATATGTATTTTGTTTTATTGGCCATGTGTATATATGTAATGTTGTATAGTTACACGTTAATTACTATTTACCTTTTATTTGTTGTGATTTCGTTATTATTTTGTTCTAATATTTGTTTATAGTTCAAAATGAGGAAAATAGAAGAAAGCCTCAATTATGCAATTTTGTGATTAATACGCAAATGAGTTATCAATATTATTAAATTCTGTATATACTTTGGAGGTTATGGAATGCAACCACTTAATTGGTCGTTTATGATTTGAATGATATGAGAAAACATGAAGTTGACAACATGACATTTATGGCTGTTCATATATACTGCTCAGCAGTCATCGCTTGCTTGGTTAATCTTTGACTTGTTACTCCTTAGAAATAGAAATAACTCTCACTCTATGGGTGGTTGGGTGTCTATGGCCCTATATATGTATGTGTATGTATGTATATTCCCTGTGTAGCTCTAGACTAGATATACATCTCTTCAATTTGTTTTTGAGTATAAATTGTGATGGGTTTGCAGATCAACTTGATATTATAATTTCGGTTAAGGTAGTGACATATTTTTGCTTACACTACAACAAAATGCACCTTTGGCGACTAAAAAAAATTTAGTCGCCAAAAGTTATGGAATTGGCGACCAACATTTTTTTTTTGGTCGCCAAAAGTATAATATTTAGCTACTAATTTTTTTTAGTTGTGGTATATTCATTATTGGAGACAAAAAAAATTTAGTCGCTAAAAATGTCAGAATTGGCGACAAAAAAAAAACTTAGCTGTATATTGACTTTTGGCTACTAAAATATTTAGTCTCCGAATGGGCAATAATTTTTTTTTTCTCTTTGGCAACTAAAATTTTAGTCGCCAAAAACTTACTTTCAGCGACAAAAAAAAAATAGTCGCCGTATGTTGATTTTTGGCGACTAAAATATTTAGTCCCCGAATAGAAAATAAAAAATTATTTTTTCTCTTTGGCGACTAAAGTTTTAGTCGCCAAAAACTTGCTTTCAGCGACAAAAAATTATTTTAGTCGCCAAATAAATTTTTTATTTATTTTTAATCTTTGGTAACCTATCTTCAGCGACTAAAATTTAGTCGCAGATGTGTTCAAAATTTTACTGGGAAATATTTCATATTGGCGCCTAAATTTTTGCCCAAATCTATTACTTCTTCACACGGTTCTTTCTTTCTTGCTCTCCCTCTGTCTCTCTCTGTAACACAGAGAATCAATCACCACCGCCCCTCATCTCAGCATCGCACACGACCAGTGTCCGTCAATCTCCCACCGTCGAACATCACCACCGCAGCTCACCGGCCTCCTCTTCTCCTCCGCCTCTGAGATTCGCGACACCCGCTGGTTCTGGGCCAGCTCCAAAACCCCTTTCCAATGGCTTCCTCTGTTTCCCCCTCGGCACCCGCCCTTGTTGGTGACATCTGAAGGTTTGCCGTTCTTGACACATTGATCTATTTTTAATCTTGCTTTACTTTCTTTATCTATCTAGTTTTTATCGATCACACATAGAAAATCAAGATTACTTAAAAAAGGATTAAATAATCATGACTAGTTTAGGAACCTAGATACCAAGAAAGATAGTATAATCAGTAAAATTTTTGAAGTAGGCCTCCATTTAAATTCCTAGACACAAACCTTTGGACATCTGAGGACAATAAGAGAAGAGAAATGTCTGTAGGCAGTATTCTTTGAAGGCTATTCCCACTTCACATGCATTCTTCTCTTCTCATTTACACATTTGATTTTAACCGTGTGTATTGAGTATTGGTTTCCCATCTGTATTGATTCAGTTAGATGATTAGAAATTCCTGTCATGTTTGCAGAGCGGCTGTCATGCCTATTTCACCTGAAGAGTTCTACAGAAGATACTCACGATGAACAAGGTTCTGCTATTTGTTTGAGGTCTGGAACTGGTGATTATCATGTGTTGTATCTTATTTATGGATGGTGGTTCTTCTGTTTCAAAGCACTGATTTCTAAGTCAAAAAAATTCTGTGAATTCTTGTTACTAATATTATAAAGTGACTCTTTATAGTCAAAATAAAGTGAGTTGTATTTTGATTTGTTTATTATTGTAAAAGCTCCTAATTTAGTAGAAAAAATTGTCTGAATGATGGACTAAAAGGAAGATGGAATCCACATTGTAGTAGTAGAAACTAGTTGTGAGTACGATCTTTTGTATTCGGTTGTATTTTATGAAAGGATTACAGGTTGGTCAGTGTCATGCTTACCCACCAACCCAAAGAGTTAGAAGGCACTCAAGTTGAACCATGTTGGCTAGTTGTTGTTAGCAGCTTGAATTGTGGTGATTCTGATGGTCTTTGACATTAAGATGTATACTAGGCATACTCGTATAATGTTTGCGAGTGAACCCTTGAGATTGCATTTGTTACCATTAACATTAAAAAAAATCTTACTGTGTGCATGAATTTCAGTTTCCCAGAGAACCAAGGTGATGCTCTTTTACTCGAAGTCCAGGATACCAAGAAAACTATACATGGTCGAGCAATAATTCCAATTGCATCATTGACTGAAAATCCTGTATGTATCATCTATTTATATTCTGATAATGGAGCTTTTTTTAATTTGATTTGGCAAGTTACATGATCTGGTAATCCAAACCATGCAGAATGATAGAATTCGGTGGTGGCAAATTTACCATGATGATCACGAATGTGTTGGAAAGGTCCAGCTCTCCATTGGTAGTACAATTACATCCAACGAGACTGCCCACATCAAGGTATAATTTTATCTCAATACAGCAAAGCCATATATAGCCCAACTAGTTGGGTGTCAAAATTTTTCTTTTGCTGAAAAAATTACTCCCTCGGTGAGGAATAACTTACTTGACTTAAAGATATTGGCTAATGTTTAGAATGTTAAATCGTTTCATTTTGCAAAAATCACATAGTTATATAGTTGTTTTAGTAATAAAAAAAATAGTATGTGATATCACATATAATGATGTATATAAATCTCCTGTATATATATCCAAAAGATGCTAATAAATGGTATTGAAACATGGTCGCCGAAACTTACAGTTAAAAGGGCAGTGGTTGACTTTTCCTCACCCAACATTGCTAAAGAAATGCATGTCGGCCACTTGAGATCTACAATTATTGGAGACACTCTAGCCTGTATGCTAGAGTTTTCAAATGTTGAGGTTCTTCGGAGAAACCATGTTGGTGACTGGGGTACACAGGTAAGTGTGTGTGTGTGTGTGAGAGCACATGCATTCTGTATGTGTGTTTGTTTTCTCGCTTTTATCTTGAAATTTTATATAAGTTCTATTAAAATTATTTATTTTTTGATGAGGGTTTTAGTCATGGGTTGTCCCATTTTATGAGTTTTCATTTGGATCAAAATAATTTCTTGGGTGAACAACAGTAGTTTGAAGTTCTTCGGTGCCTTTTCCTTCCCTAATATGTGGTGGAAGAAGGAACTCCAACAGACCCTTCTTGTATAATTGTATTAAGTGGAAAAATTATGCTCTTTCAAATTTTTTGTTGATTATTGCTGCTCTAGAAGGTGATAATATTATGGCCTCTTTGCTGTCTGAATTATGAAAGTCTATTTCGATAATTTTTTTGTTACTTTCCTATTATGTCTTAAAGATATTATTTATGTTTTGCAGTTTGGTATGCTAATCGAATTTCTTTTCGAAAAATTTCCGAACGTGGAGGTTGTCAATGATCAAGCTATCGGAGATCTCGAGGTGAGATAAAAATTTTGGAAATTAGGTCCATTTCCTGAATTGGTACAGACATAATACTTCTTCATGTCACTTGAATATTTTTTATGCTACATCCAAGCAACAAAGTCCCTTGCTTAGATTAGCAAATAATTCAAGTAACTAGTTGCTTGTGCTGCTTTGAGCAACTTATGCCTTTGATTCAATTTTTTTTCATTGAAATGAATCATGAAATTCAGTGAAAGTGGGTATTATTGGTTTAACTTGAATGCTGTTATTAGGCATTCTATAAGGCATCAAAGCAAAGACTTGACGGTGATCCTGGATTCAAGGAGAGGGCACAACAAGCGGTGGTCAGTTTCCAGGTGAATCACTTACCTTTATGCCTTAAAGACTTGTGAGGTTGATTATAGTAATAATTAAATTTCTCATTTGTAAAAGAACTTAAAAGCTGTAAATTTCAATTTTCTATTTTGGAGGAAATCTGATTTATAAACTATAAATTTTGTTTCTTCGTTTAGGAAGAAAATTTGGTTAATGATTTTATCTCGAGGTTTCATTATGTTTCATCATTTATCTTATTTGGTTTCATTTCCTATGGCATAACTTGTATCACAGGGTGGGGAAGAGAAGTATCGAAAGGCATGGGCACAAATCTGCGAAATCAGTCGAAGGGGATATCAAAGAGTTTATCAACGCCTAGGAATTAAGATAGAGGAGAAGGTACTTACCTGATATTTTTCTTTCTAACTAATGACAATGTCAAACATTGATTGTATTTTCCACACCTGTTTTCTGCGCCATGGAGCCACGTAAAAAAGACACCAACTTTTGATTTCAATCTATAGCGTGCATGCTAAAAATAGAACATTCTTGGTTTATGGTTCACAGCCCCCTGCCCCACCAATTGTATATTTCATCCGATTCAAATGTATCTGCTTTAAGTCATTGTCACTTTATATTTTGACTGATGTTATCAGGTTGGCCATTTTGTATGACTACTTGAACTGATGCTAGCTTGATATCTAAGATCACAATTCTACCAAGGCAAAACATTGTTATTTCATCATCGTAGTTACTTCTTGTATAGCTGTAATAACTAAAAGATTACTTTAAATTAGTGGGCACAAGAACTGTGGCAAGACTAGACTATGAATCTTAGTTGAATTACATTATTGCATATGCAATGAGGACATTAGTATGGTACAGGCTTACAGTATGGGAGGCCAGAGGCCCATAAATGTAATTTATCATTGTTTATTCTTTTTTATTTTGGACTCAAGCAAATTACTTAATTCAATAGAACTAGTAGGGGTTGAAGACTTACCATGACACATGGGAAACACATAGGGGGTGAAGGCTTTTTGTGATATATAGCAACTCTCTCTCTCTCTCTCTCATAAGTCTTACATTATGCTTATTCTTGAATTTGATTATTGTTACACATGCTATTTAAAACCCTAATTTGGAAGTGAAGTTGCAGGGAGTGTTAAACGGTGGCATGATTTGCCCTTATTTGGATTTCATGAGTAATGAACATATCGTACTCATGAAATCAACTGTTCCTATGATTGAGTGGCAAAATCACTAGTAATTATTTTGTTTTTTGCCTTCCCGTCAGGTAGAAAGCTTTTACAATCCATATATACCTGGAGTTTTAGAGGAGTTGGATAAGAAAGGATTAATTGAAGAAAGTGAAGGTGCTCGTGTGAGCTTTATTGAGGGGAAAAATATACCTTTAATTGTTGTGAAGAAGGATGGTGGTTTCAACTATGCTTCCACTGATCTTGCGGCTCTTTGGTTAGTGTTCTAAAATTTGGAGTTGATTAAAGTGTAAATTATATGACCCTTCTATATGTCATTCATTCTTGCATCTGTACTTATATATGTTTAATCTACCATCTGATCTGCATGATTTATATAATGCATCTTTCCATGTTTCTTCCATTAAAGATATAAATTATATGATAGAATCATCTTGTGGTTCATG